CAAACCCCGAGCTATGTTTTCCTAACTTCAAACAAGAAATCCTCTCTCTCGAGTTCATTCCTATTTAATATCAATCCAAGAGCTGATCAAACAATCAGAAGCATTTAATACAGGAAAACATAAACGAAATCGAAACACGACAAATAGATAACAGAAATGACAATCGAAATCAATATATACAAGGCTTCATTGGCCTAGAAGAAAATGTTCTTAGTTCATAACAAACATAGTATCAAAAGAATGTACAATAGAAATGAAGAACAAAACATAAAGAAATTGCGTAAGAAAAACCCAAGTCGAAACCCCCGTTGATGATTCCCACGAAGAACCGTCGAAAACCGTAAAAAGTCGAAGTAGAATGAAGAATGAAAGGGCCTTTCTATTTATAGTGAAATGCAAAGCTTCCTCAAGAAGCTTTGCATTTTAAAATATCTTTCTCAAAAGGCGTGCCCAGATCGCGATCCGGGTTGTTTGGATCACGATCTGGCAGCCTGGGGGAACTGCCCACCGCCATGCCAGATCGCGATCCAGGAATGTGTATCGCGATCTGGATCTTGACTCATTTCAGCTCTGTAAGACCCCCCAAATCGTGATCCGACTTTCTGGATCGCGATCTGGATCTAACCCCAATTTGCTCTCTGTCAGACCCCCCAGATCGCGATCCGACTTTTTGGATCGCGATCTGGGTCTTGATCAATTTCTCTCTGTCAGACCCCCCAGATTGCGATCCGACTTTCTGGATCGCGATCTGGGTCTTGATCAATTTCGGCTCTGTAACAACCCCCAGATCGCGATCCAGAGATGTCAGATCGCGATCTGGGTCTTCTTGGCCCAAAAAATGGCTTGAAAATTTGGTTTCGCTTTCAAATGGCTTCAACTCGGCAAAAAATACCTAAAAAAAACCCTGAAATAGAAATAAAACAAGAAACGCAATAATATATACAAATAAAGCCGAAACTCGGACGAACGAAGACCAAAACTCGAAGATTTGATAAGTAAAAATCGTGCAAAACGAACACTTATCATCTGTACATTGTAGTCGGGGACTCGATCGCTAGAATAGTCTTGGATGTCCTGTGTGTTCTTATAGTTTGTAATCATTAAGTCTCTGGCCAGAGCTGACTGTGTGATGATTAGGGAATATGTTTCTCGAAGTCATACACAAACCGATTGCAATACTAAGAACGTTCACACAGTTATTCAACTATAAAGGAGGTCTCGCTGAACCAATGCCTCTAATTTAATCGGAACATATGTATTGAAGTGATCGTATTGTACATTTATTATATCACACGGTTCTTACATGCACTTCATTTGTATCTAGAGAATCATGACGCGTAGTTGCTAGACGTCAATCTTGATTCGTTGGGTAGTTAAGTTGAAACTAGCTTCATGTTAATTATAACTCTAGGGACAAGTTTAAACCACAATGTTTTGTGAGCCACGGCTAGCTTACACCTGAACCATCGAGGGTCACACTTCTCGTATACTTGAATTTATTTAATAAACGGTCAAATATTGAATCGTTGATCTTTGCATGATAGGAAGTTAATATGATTGAGTCCAACATTCATAATTATGAATTATTGATTAGAATAGAAAGAGAAAATAAATAGGCGATGATTTTAGTGAACTTTCTAAATTGGGAAGTTTCCCGATTAAGCAGATACACTGAGTTAAGGTTTCCGTTTTAAAAATTGGAAATCGAGAATTTGGCACTCGTATCGACGAGGACTTTATAGTTATTTCGAAAATATAATTGTTATATTTTTCGATCATTGGTTTGTGAGAAACAATTTGGGAAAGACTAACGAGCTTACGTTGATGGGTCCGGTCCAACTTAAGCTTGGTAAGGTTTATGCACAAGGCACTATAAATACAAGATTTATAGTTCTTGCACAAACAACCAAAAACCCTAGCCGCTCCCTCTCTCTCACAACTCACGATTGCCACTCCTCCACTCAGCCGCGCCGTCGCCGTTGTCGGATGTTGCCTCTGCGTGCACCCGGAGATCAGCGTGTGCAACGCACGCACCGCCGCTGCTCCACCAAGCTGTTCAGATTGGTGGACTCCAATCTCGCCGGTGATTGGTGGCCGATCGTTAATGTAAAAAAACCCTGGATGTTGTATAGATTGCAAATGAGGCCATAACAACCTTCGAATTTATACTGTGGTTGCTGGAAAAAAAAATACCTATTGGTGATCTCCGGCCACCAAGGCCGCCGTCACTCCCCATCCCAAAGTTAAACCGCAGTTGTCATTTGTACTACTTTGTGGCTGAAGTAGGGTATAAGTTTGTAGAACATGATAAATGTGGAGATTTTTGATATCTTGGCATTTAATTTTGGAAAAAAAATTGTGGAGGTTTTTGCTTTCTTGATAAAAAAAAAAGAAATAAAGAAAAAGAAGTCGAGGAAGATGGTGGAGATCTTGTATTTTAGAGGATTAATATCAAGATCAATTTATCGATCTTTCACTTTTATTAGCCACTCTCTCTTTCTCATTATTGTTGTTTTTGTTGTCAACATTTACCATATCATGGTATCCTACTTCTTTTTCGGCTTACCCATGGCGGCAACGACGACTAATATTGGAATATTTATATGAAAATGTTACATAATGCCAATGTTTTGAAAATCGGATCTGACATTGACTCGGATAAGTTACTGGGTCATGGCTGGGCTGGTTCAATCACACGCAAGTGCACGTATCGCAAACAAGTAGTAAAAGTGGACTCGTGAGAGTCGGATGTCGATCCCACAGAAAATACTCAAATTATCTAATCTTAATTACCAAATTCTAACAACTATGATTTTTATCCAGCCTACGCAAGTTTGTCAAATTAAATCAATTAAACAATTAAACTAATTATGAAAGCAAATAAACATGAGAAAATATCAATAAAACGGACCTAGGATTTTATCTTCCCCCTATGCAAGAATTGCTCACCCAAAACCCCTCAATTATGAAATATATGATTCATGATTATTAACCCGAGACACTAATTTACTCATAACCCGCTGTCGCGTGTATTATGAGTCTATTATTCATAAACGGTTCACTATATGTCTATGCAAACAAATTATGAATAAATCATTAACTAACAAGTCTCGTAATTGGCTACCTAAGGTGATATCTATATGTCTACGACACCACATGCAATTGACACACTCATCCGGTGAAAACTACTCGAAGGTTCTTATACTTACCGTCTAATTATCAAAATAGCTCTGTCGAGTCAATCCCAATAATCACAGATGAAGCACATAAATTGATCAAGTTCATGCACTAACAATCATAACAAGTAGAAGAAATAATCATAAAATCATAATTGCATAATCTCAAGAAAACGGGTTCACCATCCCCACATAGGGTTCCAACAAAATCCTAGATTAAAAGCTTAGCTACTCGTAATTCTTATGATAAATAAAATAGAATTAATAAAAGAAATAAGAAAAACTATGCTTGAGTCTTCGTTGATCTTCGTTCTTCGCGTTTTGTGGTGTAAAATTTCCTCCTTATGGTGTAGAGACTTGTTGCTTTTATAGGCTTTTCTTGAAAATGAAGTAGTAGAAACCTAATAGGAATCAATTTCCGCCACTTTCCCCCATCAAGACTTGTTCTTAGATTTTCGCCATGTTGGAGTCCGAATTTTGGAATATTGTGTAAATAAGATTTGTAGCCCTTGAAATTAGCTTTTTAATGCCGCCAAAATCAGCCGATTTGGAGTTCTTATGAGAGAGATATACTAGAAATGGTGGACACTGCCAAAGCTGTGGCGAGATTCCTTCTTCCAATTTGATTTATTTCCTTATTTGCAACTTTTTCCTTCCTTTTTGATCTATTTTCCTTCATGGACACCTAATTCTTGTTTTTCACCTATAAAACACAAAATCAATCAATTAAAGCACAAATATAATTAAATCTAAACAAAACATCCACGTAAAGTAAGCGTATTAAGCGTAAAATCTACACTCAACAGAGTCCAACTGGTTTTTTCATATTTATTTTATAACTATTTATGCATATTTTTTTATAGTAAATAAAGTATATTTTATTTCTTAGACATTAACTCATTACTCATTTCCAATTGGAACATAAATCAAACCTATTTTTCTTTTGCACACACTATATATCAACACACACATATCACACCAAATCATTTCAAATGTTATAGAAATTATAATCTTAAATAATGTCTTGCAACTTCAATTTTTTTTTTTCTTCAATTGGGAAGTAAAAAGACATATTTTTAGCCATTTTATTTGTTTATTTTTTTAGAAAAAGCACAATTTAGAGGAAAAAAATTCCCATTTTTACTCGGGTTCCGATATTACGGTTCAACTGGTCAAACCGGACCGGACAAGACAATGGTTCGCTATTTAACCGGTTCAACCGATCGGTCCTGTCAGGAATTCAAAACACTGCATAATGCATTACTAGTCAATCAACGCGTGCGCAAGAAAACAATCCCTCTTGTGTCTCGATGCAACATTTGTTTTATAACCCTTATGAGGAGACGATCTTTCATCTCTTCTTATACTCGAAAGTTGCGACTAAGGTTTGGCAATATTTTGGTAATTTGTTTGGCGTGCCGACTTATTATTCTTCTATTCACCATGTGATCCCTTTTCGGGTGCCCTTTAGCAATATCTGCCCTCAATATTTAATGGTCAAAACCGGTGTTTTTTGTACACGTGGGGGATTGATTCGTGACGCATGCGGTCATTTGCTCGCAGGCTTCTCTTCTTTTTATGAAAACAGGTCGAATAATACAACACTATTCTTAGCCGTTACCAATGGGTTGGAAACGGGAACTTGTTACGTCCGACAAGATTTTTAACGAGACCCCCTTTATATGAAATAAATCTTTTTTGGCAAAAAATAAAAAAATCATAATTCTAAAATTGCATGAATTGGGCTTGATTTTAACCGGAAGGCTTTCTAACTTTAGGGATTATTGGACCTAACCAATAAGGGCCCACTATGTATACTGAGTTATTTTCTTTATTTTTCCATTATGAAATCCATTTTCCAATTTTATTTATTTATTTATTTAATTACATAATAAGTAAATGAGAAAATTGCAACCTTAAACCCTAAAAACCTCAACGTTCGTCTTCTCCAGTGTTCCAAGTCACAATCTCCGTCGCACCACCGACCGCCGGAAAATGGTGAAGGCGTACCTGCGTTACGAGGCGGCGTCTTCTTTCGGGGTGATAGTATCGCCTGATTGTAACATAACTTACGACAATTCCGGCAAGCACCTTCTGGCGGCGGCGCTAGAGAAGCTTGGCGTGTGGCACGTCCGTCAGGGTGTCTGCACCAAAACCCTAGCTCCGTCGCCTTCCTCCTCCACCCGCGGCCCCTCTCTCGCCGTCACCGCCATAGCCTCCTCTTCGTCTTCTCTTGTAAATACCCCTTCTAATCTGTTTGTTTCAGTGCATTGCTTATTCAAATTCTGTTTGGAACTGTAGAAGTAATTTTTCTGTGTGGTTAGATATTTAGGAGCGGAATTTATGCCGATGGAATTTTCTTCGAATTTAATCGAAAAGCTTAGAAAGTTGAAGAGGGAGTTTATGCCGTTATTCAATTCCTCGTTTTTTGATGATAGACCATCGATTTTGTGTAGCTAGAGTTTTCGTCTTTTGTTTGGAAAATTTATTTTAACTGGGTAAATGTGGTTAAATAAAGATTTAGATTTTATTTGTGCTTGCAGGTTGCTTGTGGTTACGCTGACGGGGCTGTGAGAATATGGGATATCGAGAAGGGAACTTGTGAAACCACTTTGAATGGACATAAATCGGCTGTCACAGTACTTCGATACAACAAGCTTGGATCTGTACTTGCTTCCGGAAGCAAAGACTGTGACATCATTTTATGGGATGTGATTGGAGAAGCCGGACTTTTTCGCCTTCAGGGTCACCGTAATCAGGTTTGCCTAATTTCTTCCGATATATATATTTTTTATTTTTTTTATATAGTCGTGATAATGGAGATTGAGTGTTGTTTAACCTTATGCTACTTTTGATTTTTTTGGGATTGCGTCGATTTCATTGGTGCTCGTTTAATTTGATAATGCAGGTGACTGATCTTTTGTTCCTTGATTCTGGTAAAAAACTGGTTAGTTCATCAAAGGACAAGTTTTTGAGGGTTTGGGATCTTGAAACACAACACTGTGTACAGATTGTTAGTGGTCACCATAGTGAAATCTGGTCAATTGACGTTGATCCTGATGAAAGGTATCTAGTCACTGGTTCAGCAGACCCAGAGCTGAGATTTTACTCAATCAATAACAGTTTGTCCGATAAAAAATCGGGGCTCGAGAAAGTTGAATCCGATATTGACAACGGGACTGCCCCTGTGCCAAACAAATGGGAAATTCTGAAGTATTTTGGTGACACACCGCGTAAAACCAAAAACAGAGTTTCTATGGTGAGGTTTAACAAGCCCGGGAATTTGCTGGCCTGTTTAGAGTCTGGAAATACGGTTGAGTTTTTTGACGTGTTGGATGAGTCTGAATCGAAACGTAAAGCTAAAAAAAGAATCAAAAGGAAAGAGAAAAAAGCTGTTAAAGGAAAAGTCGAGACCACTGAAAACGGAAATCGGAATGTTGAAGTTCAAGAGAGTAGCGAGTTTCTTGTTACAGTATCTGATGTCTTTCAGTCTCGAGAGCAGCTGCTAAAAACTATCAAGAAGACTATATGTTCTATCGCTTTCTGTCCTATAACTCAAAAAGGCGCCCGACCAACTCTAGCATTGTCTTTGGGCGATAGTTCATTGAGGATGTATTTAATTGAGGACATGTCCAAACCAACTGCTGCCATTGAGCTACAAGGACACCGTTCTGATGTAAGAAGTGTCACTCTTAGTTCGGACAATACTCTTTTGTTGTCAACATGCTACGATGCTGTTAAGATATGGAATCCTAGCACTGGTTCTTGCCTCCGAACTATTGCTTCGGATTATGGACTGTGTGCGATCTTTGCTCCTGGTAATAAGTATGCAATTGTCGGAACCAAAAAAGGGAAGCTGGAAATTGTTGATGTTCTAAGTGGTACTTGTCTGGATACAGTTGAAGCTCACGGCGGCCTTGTTCGGTCTATTGTTGCAACGCCGGATGGTTTCGTCACTGGTAGTTCAGACAAGGATGTCAAGTTTTGGGAGTACCAGACTACACAAAAACCCGATCAAGTGCGTAACTTTAAATTCTCGTGCTTACTGATTTTGTCTGTGAACTGAACATTCTAACTGTTGATTATCCGTGCTAATATTTGCAGGCAGTTAAACATCTGACAGTATCTCCTGTGCGGAATCTGAAAATGAACGACGACGTTGTAGCTGTTGCTGTCAGCCCAGAGGGTAAACATATTGCGGTTGCCTTGATGGATTGCACAATGAAGGTTGAATGACTTGTTGTAGTAAAATTATGATATGCCATTTGATAATGTTGAAATTGAGAGTAACTACAATTAGGCATGCAACGAACAACTTGGATGCTCCATCATTTCTTTTGAGTGATTTTACTGTATTTTTCATTGGTTATTGCATTCACTTATGTTTAGGTGAAATTCAAGATTTGTTAGTGTAGTAATGGGTTTCTCTGTTGTTTTGCATGTTAGTTACATCTCTAATCGTAATATGCTATTTCGAACTGACTCAGGTCTTCTTCTTGGACTCGCTTAAATTCTTCCTCACATTGTACGGCCATAAGCTGCCTGTATTATGCATGGACATATCTTCCGACGGTGATCTGATTGTTAGCGGTTCCGCTGACAAAAATATAAAGATTTGGGGTCTCGATTTTGGTGACTGCCACAAGTCCCTTTTTGCTCATGATGACAAGTATTTACTTCACCCCTTGCTCGAAAAAATATGATATAAAAAAAATCCTCCAGTTTCACCCATTTATTTTTATTAATTCCTAAACTCTATTTTGATCTGCAGTGTCGAGGCAGTTAAGTTTGTGAAAAATACCCATTACTTTTTCACTGCTGGGAAAGACCGCAAAGTGAAATACTGGGATGCAGACAAGTTCGAATTGCTTTTAACTCTCGAAGGCCATCATTCAGCAGTCTTGTGTCTTGCCCTTAGCAATCGTGGTGATTTTCTTTTAACGGGGTCTCATGATAGATCCATTCGCCGTTGGGATCGTACTGAAGAGCCTTTCTTTATCGAGGTATTGCCTTTTTTTGTAATCATTAAATGAGATATATTGTTGTCTTATGAGGGACATTTTTTTTCCCATAAAGTTCACAATTGTTTTGTACTGCAGGAAGAGAGAGAAAAAAGGCTGGAGGAGTTAATTGAATACGGTATGGAAAACGATTCCGAGAAGTATCTATCGAAGGAGGAAGTTCCAGAGGAGGGTGCTGTGGCATTGACAGGAAAGAAAACTGAGGAAACTGTGACTGCAGCCGACTCTATTATGGAAGCACTGGATATGGCCGAGGAAGAACGGAAACGTATTGCTCAAAACGAGGTGCTGCTCCATATACGTATTTTTTTTCTGTAATTGTTTTTTTATTTAACTTTTTTTTGGATGCACGATTCATATAAATCCCCCTTTTCTTGTGTGATTTGCAGGAGGAGAAATTGAAAGGGAGAGTTGCTGATTTCAGGCCAAACATTCTAATGCTCGGCCTTTCTCCATCCGATTATGTTCTGAAATCAGTTTCGAGTGTTCACGCCAATGATTTGGAGCAGGCATTGCTAGTAAGTTTTGTGATATTACTTCAATCTGTGAAATCTCGTTATTTAGAAGCTAGGTTTCTTAGACTTTTGCCAGCTGTCATGGAAATGAATTTCGTTATAAGCGTATTATTATAATTTCAAGAATTGCAAAACTAGCATTGATGTTAAGAAAGAAGCGTGATCTTTATCTATTTGTGCGTTTTTTGCAGGCATTGCCGTTCTCAGATTGCTTGCGGATTTTGTCTTGTTGTAAAGATTGGGTTGCTTTCCGTGATAAGGTTTGTCCGTTTAAAACGTCGAGAGCGATTTTCGTTCAATACCTTTTTTTTTTTTTTTTTTTTTTTTTTTCAGTAACCTATCTTTTATTTTTTGTAATGTATTTTTTTAGGTTGAGCTCGTTGGTCGGATTGTGACAATATTGTTGCCGATCCATCACAACCAGTTAACCTCCACAGTGTCTGCCAGGCCCATCGTAACTCTTCTCAAAGACATCTTGCATGCCCGGGTCAAGGTAACATTTCAAATATTTCGATTCTCCCAAATTATTAATTTTTTCAATGGTTTGTTAAAATTTAATTCTTAAATTGTGGCCTTATATTATTCGAACATCAAATTTCAAAATAATTTCCATTTTCCCCAATTTTAACTAATCCTGTTTTGACAGGAGTGCAAAGATACCATAGGCTTCAACTTAGCTGCAATGGACCATCTAAAGGTAATTAATTATATTTATTCACTTCTGCATTTTAAATTAACGACATATCTGATTTTAGTCGGTTCCAATTAAGTTATAAAAACTGACTTGTATATATATTGTCGCAGCAATTAATGGCTGCTAAGTCTGACGCACCGTTTCGAGATGCAAAAAGAAAACTATTGGAGATACGAACACAGTATTCCCAAAAAGCTGAAGCAGGGAGACGCACAAAAGACGAAAAGAGGAAAAAGAAGAAGCAGAAGAAGATTGATGACGGACACGTTTGGTCTTGACTTTGCAGATATTTGGTATTTTCTCAACTATATACTTTTTGGTATATAGCAATTTTTGATAATCGAACTTACCGTTTTGGTCATGAGTAGTGGGGTAACTTCAATTGGTTTGTTGTTGTAAATTATTCTTGATATACGCAAAACTGTCGCACGTTGGAGTATTCAATGTCTTTATAGAATTGTCCTATTTTTCTGGAGCCTGAAAAAGATTACATTTTTTTTTACATTTTCATGCATATTTACCGAATTAAATGTTCGATTTTGTAGAAAAACGATGTTTGTGCTGCAGTTTGTTTGTTCTTCTTCACATGAAGTTTTGGCCTTCATAAGTCTGGCTAAATTGCCAGTTCTGAGGGACAACTTTCTGCAAAATTACTGTTTTGCCATCACTTGTGGTGACTTTGAATGTCAGATCGTGTCCGACGAGTTTAGCATTCGTCTCCCATTTCTGGCCCCAATTACGGCTCAACTTTGTCCAAGGCAAGTCTTTACCGCCACTCACCTCCACATTTGTCACATCTCCGGCACCACCCACGTTCGTTACTGTCACCAAATTGAAATAAGGATTCCCCGTTATGGTCAATTTCACTCCGCCCCTTTTCTTGCACGGAACCCTATAAACCAAACAATTCGATAAATAAAGCTCCTTTAATATATTGCGTTTAGTACCCCTTTGTTTACTCTAACAATTTGACATAACACATGGGGTTCGAAATGTAATAAACTCCAATCATAATATAGGGAAAAAAGAAAAATGAAAATAGTAAGTACCTGCGATATTGAACAGGAACAATGCCGGCCTTGTATTCAGCAATCTGAAGATACGCGGGTTGGGACAAATCGAAATGCTCGTTGGGCGAGTTGCAGCAGCCGGTCCCACCTGGAGGGCAGAAGTTGGTAGCAGTGACAAAAATGGACGATGATGCCCCTGGTTTGCACCATTTGTTCCCTTTGGCACATCTTATCTCATAGCAAGAGCCACACGCTTTTCCGTCGTTGAACAATGCGCTGCTCAATGCTGTCGTGTTGAACCCATAGCCTTCTTTCACGAGGTCATCGTATCCACATGCTCCTCCTATATACATTTTTTTTTAATACAAACATTATTCAAGAATTCATAGAAAAAAAAAATATAAGTAGAGATATATTAAATTGCGAGTTGCACCCATTGTTCCCGAGCCATCGGCTCCGCCATAAAAGGTAGCATGAGCGTCTTTCCACGGGCCGACTTTGAAGTCCGGCCCGTGGGAATGTGCACTAGTAGGCCCCACAAGCACAAGGATCATCAATGATGATGCCAACATGCCTTGCAATATAGCAGCCATTGGTATGCAAATGAATTGACACCTACGAATTCAAAAAATAAAATAAAATGAAAAGATAGAATTATATCATGGTGTTATATACATAATATTTACATCATATATTACCCAATAAGTAAATGTTAAGTGGAATTTTTTTTAGTTTCATGCAATTCATAGAATTTACTTACAGAAAGCGGGATTTGGTTTATCGAACTTTAGGACTTTTCTCTCTCTTCGGATTTGTGTTGTTTTCGAATAGATTCCATTAAAGGAAACCGGGAGTTTATATTTTGACAGCAGAAATCAACCAATTAATGTTATTTGAAAACGAAAAAAAAACAGTTGAATTGTGATAAAACGGTAGGTGAGGAGAGTATTTTGTGTGTTAACGTCTATTAATCAGTTGTTTGTATTGACTAAACACAGCTTTACGATAATGATGCAGAATCATTTCAAGGGATATAGTTCGTTCGCGGCCACGAGTTAAGAAATTTATCGAAAATAAAGGGTTTTTGGTATCCGACCCTCAAATCAAGTATCAACACTAGATTTCAGGAGAGCATATAAGCTTTACAATATAAAATAAATGAGGCTCATTAACTTACTTTTCCTAATTAAATTGGAGACTCGAGATTAATTGGGTCTCGTTAGATTCGACTCCATAAGATAAGAACCACGAGACCTTGCTAAATATAGTACTCAATTGCCACATGTATATATATATG